ACTAAACCCTAAGCCCTAAACCCTAAGCCCTAAACCCTAAACCCTGAATCCTAAACCCTAAACCCTAAATCGTAAACCCCAAATCCTAAACCCTAAATCTTAAACCCTAACCCCTAAACCCCTAAGCGATGTGCGGAACCCACCCATTGGGGTCTTATCGCTGAGGTCCTTGCGCTTAGGGCCTCCTTTTCCTCGGCTTCCGTAATTCGCAGCCGGAATTCCTTGGATTGCCGGTTATATTAAGATCATATTTGGGTTGTGATAGGGTTATAATGAGGTCATATTAGGGTTATAATAGGGCATGTATTGGGGTACGCGGCTTCTCAAAAGCATGGATTTGGACTAAGAGATGAGCAAAGGGAAATCTGAGCTTTTCATGATTGAAAAGAATGTTCAAGAGATGGAATTCGTGAGTCTCAACACCCACCATGAGTCCCTTCTCGGCCACAAATTGAATTATCACATTTGTTTGCGGGTATGTAGAATAGCCTGATCCTGAGAGGTACCCTATTCATGAAGTCGCCCACAGAGAAGGCAGTACCCTATGCGCTCTAGTCTAAACTTATCCCCCTTACTATCCCCCATAGTAGTCCCCTAAATAATCCCCTGTACAACGCCCCTTTAGGAAGCTTAGACTCTAAACATTAATCCCCAAACCCTAAACCCTAAATCCTAAACCCTATAAGATCCCCTGTATAGGACCCCTTCAAGGAGTTTAGACTACAGCTCATATATTTTCTGGATTAGCTTTTGGGCTTGGGGTTTGAGGAGCCCAGCTTTTGGGAGATCACTGAGTACTTGTACACTACTGAAAAGTATGCGGTTTAGGGATTAAGGATAATGGAAAAGAAAATGGAAACTACTACATTCTAATAGGGCAAATATTGGGGTTATCTAGGGATAAAGGCAGGGAAAATGGAAACTACTATTTAGGGTTTAGGGTTAAGGCTCAGACCTTTAAACTGCCCCTTCAGCGCTCTCTGAGCCCTCCAGCATTCACAGCAACGACAACAAGTATTCACACTTCGTACAGCCGGCACGGTCTCCGTGCAATTTTCAATCTTCTTTCCCTTTTGATGCTCCCTTATTCCTAAACCCTAATTGAACCCGCTCCCCCGTATTGCTAAACTCATATCGTTCCAGGGAATACTGTATCAACTGTCATGCGGAGCTTTAAAACGTAGGACAAAGTTGAGGTCGTGACACGCATCTTGAAAATGCGGTAGAGGGCTGCGTCAAGAACCTTCAGGCATGCTGATTGGGTTGATAAGGCTTGGTAATACGCTTTGCGTACTACATGTGAGGAATAGCATGACGTGTTGGAGCAGCTTCGCCACATGCCTTCCCAGTCAGATCCAGATGATAATTCTGGCCCAATAATGCAACATTGCACAGTCACACGATAGATACGACTTATACTACGAATAAAGTACCAATATTAACAGTACAAATAACAATAGTAGTACCAGCAATCACATAAGAAGCATAATACCACTAAAGAATCTCAGCCAAAACGAGCCTGAAACACCTGAAATCCTACGCAACTTGCTGGTGCTTAAGGCGGAGTAGGGGAGTGAATATGAGTACCATTGATTCTATAGGGATTCTTATAGGGATCCACTCCCCCACACTCCCTCAAAAACCAGTAGAGCAAGGGAAGTGGCTTTGAGGTTGCAGTACTTCTTGAAGATGTGCTGCTGCCAGACCCTGCGAAAAGTCCACTCTTTACCATGCGGAGGAGGGGTTGGGGGTTTGGGCTTCAGGCATGGGGTTTCGGGCTTAGGGTTTAAGGGTTAAGGGTTAAGGGTTTACGGCTGCCATGCGTTTCCAAGTTGCTTTACATGACGTGCGAATAAGCCTTTGTTTGGCGCGTAGGCGCACTCACCAGATATGCTTCGAACACTGAAACTTTATTGTTTAAGCGTTAAGGGGGTTAACGGTTTAGGATTTAGGGGCAGGGAAACTGCAAATTGAGGTCACAATCGGCTTCCAGAATTGTCAACGGTCCTGTCCGGATGACACCCGGCATTGGGACACGGCTGCCAGAGCTTCAACCCTAACCCCAAACCCTATAGTCCCCCTTAAGTAGATAGAATATGGCTGTGGGTACATTATAATAAGATCCCCATATACCCCATATTCTATCTACTTAAGGGGGACTGTAGACTCTGACTCTAATCTTATAGGTTGTGAGTCGGGAATAAAGCAATATTATCCCTGTAAAATCCCTACATAATATAGTTTCCTTTTCCCTACTAATCCCCAGTAAGTAAACCACGTGGCTACTGGCCCTATGACATCAAGCGCCGTTAGCTTCTCCCTCATGGTCATCCCCAAATCATAAATGTGACGAGCGGAAGCCTGAACTCTTGAGCGACTGGACTCCTACTTTTGACAAGGCAAGAGCACTTTAAAAGGGGCCAGTGAAAGAGCAAAATTAGAAGGGATCGGGGGAGGGGCGAGATCCAGGAACATTTTATTATTTTCAAGAGGATTGTCATAGGAGCTATTGATTTCACAGATATTACGAGGCCGCGGGAGATAAAACCCGCTTAATAACGAATACTCCAAAGAAGTTGTGTTCACTGCGGGAGGAGGGGATTGCCTGAGCCTGCATTGACTACAATGCCTAAACTCTAAACCCCATAAACGGTCCTCAGTGGGCATGTCTCATCCAGCAGGAAGGAGTGGGCCAAGTAGATCAAGAGAACACAAACGTGGGCAGCCTGGCATTCCATGTCACTGCATGAAGGTTACAGAAATCAGGGTTTACGGTTTAGGGTTCAGGGTCCCTTACCAAGCATTAACAATATTTCGGAGTCTACATGGGGCCATGCCAATGTATGGAAACCCCTCGGAGTGTGATTCGCTCCTTCAGGGGAACCTGTGAACCAATCTCACTTCCCTATGTAAATGCCCTTGGTTTCGGGTCTCTAGCCTCCAATGGTGTGATCAGAAAACCGCATCGTCAACCATAGCCCTTCAGCACCTCAGAATAACTTTGCAGCCACACCCAAGAATCCCGTTTGAATTGACCATAACAGCCTTCACCTTGGTGCTGGTAAGAAAGCAATACGCCTGCTAGGCAGGACCTACGCCTGCTTGCTAGTAGTCCCTACGGAATCCCAGAGTCATAACTCTAATATGCCAATCCTACTTCCCCTACCGACCACCAGTAAGTCGCGAAACCTGATAGGAGCCATAGTCTGAGCTCCTAGTATCCCTCTTAGTACCCCCTATAGTAGTCCCCTATATAAGCCCCTATCTAACCCGCCTGTAAGGACTTTAGACAATAGCTCATAGGAGGCCCCAAGCCCCAAGAGCCCTGAGACCTTCAACCAAACTCTCACCCTCCATGCATGCCTCATAGTCGCTCATCTTCTGGCCTATGTTGTTGAAGGCACCTTGTTGTATGGAAGCGGCTTTCCTGTCTACCTTCTAGTTTCCTCTGACTTGCGACACTCTTAGACATCTGCAGAAGCCGGGTCGACCTCTGAGAGGCCCGCTTCTGAAGTAGACACTCGCATAAGCGAGAGTCAACACAACATCGGCATAGTGATACTCGCAAAGGTGCATGAGGCGGATGCCCTGGCGTCAATTTAAACTTTCAGATGCCTGTCTACACAGCATCAGCGCCATATACCATCCTGCTAGTAGATGGGTTATTCTCAAAATGTTGGGCCCCTTTTGCAAAGTGTTGGGCCCCTTTTGGTCATGGATTATAGTATGGCACTTAATTTTATGGGGTACCAAAATTGGACCCTAATTTTGGGAACTACCCTAAATCCGATAAACCCTTATATAAGCCCAGTTTCCATTTAGTTTTCCATGTTCTTTTCCAATAATGGGGGTAATGATATCCCTTGGGGCCTAATTTTGAGGATACTAGGAGTTTAGTTTATTGTTGGCATGCACGCCATTAATCCATAGATCGGAATGCAGCTGTTCCGACTGCCCCTTGAGGCCAAAGCTGTGAGAACCCTGGCAGCTGGCAATAGGGTTTTAGGGTTCTAGGTGTGGGCTTAAGGTCTCCATGACCTCCCCACCTTCAAAAGCCCCAACTTCAATCATTTCATTCTTCATTATTGGGTGTAAGTAGGGTAATATCCCTATATAATCCCCATATAACCCATATGGGCTATAGTCTAAACTCCTAGCATCCCCCTGAAGAACCCTGGGCCTGTATACTAGTATCGTCCACATTAAAATCCCCTATGTAACAATCGTTTAAGCAGTTTAGACTATAGCTCATATGAGCCATGGTCTAAACTCCTAGTATCCCCCTTAATAACCCCTATAGTAGTCCCCTATATAATCCCCTATATATCCCCCCTTTAAGCAGTTTAGACTATAGCTCATATGTGCAGGACCACGCCGAGAGGGCCTGGAGAACCTTCTTGTACAACGTGTCGTGCTTGGCAGAAGACTTCTCCAGGGATCGCTCGCCGACCTCAACCTGGGTTGCTGTTCAGGAACTTAAATTAAGTTACCATAATGGGTATATATAGTAAATAATAGGGTTTCCCCAATAAAGTAACTTAATTTAAGTTCCTTAATCCCTATATTCCCTTAGTTTCCATTTCATTTTCCATTTTCTTTTCCATTTGATCCTCCATCATTAGGGGGATAATCCCTTAATTTGAGTTCCTTAACAGCAACCCAGCAACCGCGAACCCGTGGATGAGGCTGGCAAACCTGGCGCAACGGTTCAGCTTTGGGATGGTTTAGGTTGGGTATAGGGTTTAGGGTTTAGGGTTTAGGGTTTAGGGTTTAGGGTGTAGGGTTTAGGGTTTAGGGCCACGCCCAAAAACAGTCTACATTAGGGTTCTTGTTAAGGGCTGTATATACTTATAGCATGACGATTATCCAGCTGTACAGAGTGGTGGGGGCAGCACCCATTTAGGGTGTATATAGGGATATTACCCTATTTAGCCCAATAATGGAGAATCATATGAAAAAAGAGACATCCCTCCCACACGTTTTGTCATGCATGAAAATGCAAGATGGGGTTTGTATAGGTGAGGACTCATAGGCTTTGTGCATCGTTGAGTCTGTGATACACATCGATTTATTGTGAAGAGGTGTGCAAATCGCAGCTCAAGACATTGACACCATACAGCAAAGAATAGAAGACGAGCAGAAACCACAGTTTTCATGTCATGTTCCATATTATTTTCCATTTGATTCTCCATTATGATGTGTACTGATGGGTAATGTCCGTAAAGAACCACTATACAATCGTTATACAACCCCATATAATTTCCAAATCCTGAACCCTAAGTCCTATGATATGGAACAAGCGCAGAAAGAATGCTCAGCAGGCCTCCAAACTAAGACAACGTCATCCTTAAAGTGAGCGTACCTCCAGGTTGCCAAGGGTTTAGGGTTCTATAGGGTTATATGGGATTATGTTGGGTTATATACGGTTATATAGGGTTAGATAGGATTATGTTGGGTTATTTTGGGTTTAGGGGCAAGAAGCGAAACCCTGCGACATGCCGTACAAGTACTCAAGACGCAGTCACGCGGGTCACGGCCGCCATCACAAACTACCAATTTGCATTTTTGCAGCGCCTGCACTAAGCCACGCGCCGCAAGCTCCAAGAATCCCTTCCATGAACGTAGACCTCTTCTTAATACACCCCCTCCTTTTAAGGGCCTTAATATTAGGATCCCTATTATCATCCCTATTAAGGGGAGGCGTTTTTTCTCAGGGGCCTACATGAACTTTTTGGATCATGCTCCAAGTCCAGCCCACCATAGGATGCGAGACTGAATTCCGGAGCCTAGGCGACCCTCGCAGCCCTTGAGCTTGAGGGCACTTGCCAATTTCAGGCTTGCACGACAGGATGTCGTCTGCTTCATCCCCACGTTCCGTTCCAGTCGGCCGCTCCTGCGAAGCGACGGAACTGAACCCTTGTCGGATGTGTAGGGTGGTAGTGATCAGAATAATAATGATAATAGAAATCTAACGGATGTGTAACCAAAGGAGCCACAGGACAAGATATGAAGAGTCTACATGTCCAAATGAACGTATTTTGACTGCACCCGCTGCGAATCACCAACCAGGAGAAGCGTCCTTGGGCAGTTTACCCGAACGGTGCCCTCGTGGAGCAGGTATGTTTCCATGTGCGGGCAGTGTTTCACTGCCCTCCACATCTCGGTGCCGCAGCCTGCAAGCAAGATATCTTAGACTGCACGCCAAGGGTAAAAAAGTCCCATTTATTCCTTGGATCTGCAGAAGATCTACACGGAACCAAGACAGAAATTGGATCAGCCGCCAGAAAGATATGGTCAGCCTTTCCCTATCCAACCTACCTGGTATCGCACCATTCCCAACGTCCTCAAACAATGCCGAAACAGACCCAAACAGCATGCATTATGGCTGTTGCAGGCACCCGGGTACCGAAGCTGCGCACAAGACCAGGTCACCAGGCGATGAACGCATAAGCTACTCCAGCAAGAAAGAGGGGCCCTAACCAGGAGCCCTGTCCTTTTTTTTCTGGACTCATGATATTCTTCCCCTTAAGTAAATAGCAAATAGAATATGGAATTCCCCAGAACCATAATAAGGTCCGCCCATACATCCCATACTCTATCTACCAACGGGGGATGTAAGCTGAAGCTGGACTCATTCATCTGGACTCATGCTACCGTGGATAGAAGAAACCTTGCAGCACGTAGTATCCCCAAAGTACCTCTAATTACCTTCATTTGGGCTAATAGACTTACTGGCGGTTATTAGGGAATACATTTTAAATATGTAGGGATTATCGTTCCTTATTCCATACTAAGCCCCAGAAAGATGGGGTTGTATCCCTACCTGGTCATACGGCTCCTAGACTTGGAGGGTCTTGTGAGGGACTTAGTAAGTAGGTTAATAACGGGGATAAGTTGGATTACTGTATGGGTTATAGGCTATTATAGGGGTTATCAACCTACTTATTTAGTCCCCCTGACCCTCCAAGCATTGTGCATTCAAAGCGGATCCCCGGCACACCTTACGCCACCACCGGACTGCGGCAGCGCGTCATCTAGGAGCGAATACCTGCTTCAATAAGAACCACTCGGGGTTTCCCGAATTTGGTGGGTTCCGGTTCTTTTTGCGGGGCGGGGGGGGGTATACAAAGGACTCCAATATTTTGTGGGTCCATATTGGGGTCCCCCTGTTTATTAAAACTACCATTCAGGACATCACGGCTCACGTCCCAACCTGCCCCTATAACCCCCTTTAGGGAACTTAAGCTACAGCCTACTCGGTGAGAAGTTCAGTGCGGTGGGTTCAGCTTCAAGCTACTCATTCGGCCAAGGTGACACGTAAACAGTCAAAGGCTTTGTAGAATTGCAGCATAGATTCCGAACAACACCCCACCATGCACAAACTGAGCTCTGGGCCCCACGTCGCGCTGCAGAAACTTCAGCGCCCGGTCAAGCTTAGAGTGGACCTGAGGGCATCGATTGCTCTCTAGAGTTCTGCACGGCTGCAAGGGGGGACTGTGAAACCGGCGAACGCCTGGAAAGTCCAGTTTCAAATCACGCAGATCGAGTCTCAGGCCTCCGAGATTGCGAGCTCGTTCTCTGTCTGCTGTGGTAGCAGAGCAAACCTGCTTGTCTGGAGGTACTAGAAGGGGCACAGCAGCCTGGCCTGTGCAACCCTTGCAGTACCGTGCACGCACTACTATGCAATCCACTTGCTGATGCTTTCGTGTCTCGCCGGCAGCGCTGCAGAATCCTCAGTTTCGAGCAGCAAGACGGCTTGCGTCAGTCGAACGCTTTATGCGAGCGTTTGTATCTCACAATTGGCTTGTGCGATGATGCCATGGTTCACTCCCATGGGGGTGGTAGGAGTACAATTGCATTGCAGCAAGTACATCGCGGCAGCTCAGCCCAAAACCCTCGAAGCAACCGAAGGCAAGACGCCTTGCCGTGAGTGCCTGAGACCTTCCTCACCCAAAAATAATAAACCCTTCCACGCTCGGGGTCCGCTGCAGTCCTTTGGACTGAAGCTGGGCTGCTACTCCGCGAAGATTTTGCAACTTTGCAAAACCTCAACCCTGTCAAACCCCGCTGCGCAACTCGGTGAGACTTTGGAGACCGGCCGCCCCGGTCCTCTGGCATGTCCCTTGTGTTGTTGGTGGTTGGTAGGGAAAGCAGGAAGGGACCTTCTCAAAAAAATACCACAACCTGTGTCTTGTTCATTCCCTACTAACCACAAACAAGTTGTGGCTGAAATTAAAGCACCGACATTTGCCTGGATGCTCACTTGACCAAATTCACTGCAACAGAAACACAATAAAACATAAGTCGTGTTGGTTACTTACTGCCCAAATTACTGCAAAGTTGCCACGCCATCTCCAGCGGAAGCAACACTCCCCACTCCACACCCTAGGCCAGCATCATATTCCCACTACATATGAGCATAGCAACGACAAATCTGGCGCCAGGCTATGCGATGTAGAAACAAGTACGACTACGGTTCAGCGCAACTCTGGTACAAGGCAAAGCCAAGGTCTTTGGCACTTGCGCACGCTTCAAACATTCCACGCCACCCTCACACTGCACGGCTCCTGGCATGGGTTCATGGTTCAGGGCATAGAGGTTCAGATTCAACCCGATGTGCCTTTAGTCCCTCTACTTGCTGACAGATTGTGTGGATTGCACGCCAACATTCGAGGAGAGATGTCAACCAGCACGAGCCCATAATAAGCGGATCCTCGCGAGACCAAAGTAACCCAGCACTGGTCGGAAATTTCCTGCGGCTTTCATGCGACCGGTACAGTAACGATGTTGGAAGCCACGTGCCAGCAAACTAGGGATCAGAGTACAGCCAATCACTCTGATTCTGGCCCCTGAAGCTCTCAACGCAAACCCACAGTCCCCCAATGCCCCAAGGCCCCCAAAGCTCTCAACACAGACCCACAATCCCCCAATGTCCCCCCCAAGACTGCTACGAGAGACCCGCCATCCTCATCAGAGCGTGACGCTGGTAGTATAGCCACCAGCATGTTGGCCAGGTTGGCCAGCCGGACTCGGCACCATTCGCCTGTTGAAGTGGGTTCCCTTTAACTATCTGGCCTTTGATTAGCTGGGAATGAAGGAAGGGAAAAGGAAATGGAAACCACTACTGCGGTAGGAGGAAAGTTCGACCCACTTGAGATTGTAGACCGACACTACAAGCAGATACAAGCAGACCACTTCTCCCCCATAGACTCCTCCACTGAGCACCTTGGGGACTCCGCTGGAACCTCAACATAGCATAAATGCAAAACAGCGTATTAATTAACTCCGCAACATGGCCCATGCCGGGGTTCTCTTCACAGATGTTGGGCCTCCTGACAGGCCCCGAGGCCCCAGTAGGTCGAAACTTTATTCCTGGCGATGTCTAGTGGGTTGTATATGGACTACTATAAGGATCCATTCCTCATTCCTAGCTAGCCAAAGGCCAGTTAACACCTGACCAAGGGTTCATGACTTACCGGTTGCGTGCGGGACGAGGTGAGATGCACTTACGCCGTTGAGTCGCAAGGGTCTGGCTCATTGTGTTGAAGAGGGTCATGAACCTTGCACTGTCTATGTAGACGGTGACATTTGAAGACTCCTTCCTGAAGGAATTCCAAGGGCCACCGCATCAAAAGAGATCATCATTGGAATGACAAGGCAACATCCCCAGCATCTTCGTGCTGGCTGCATATCTGCGGCACGTAAGGTGCCCAAATTCGCACACCTCAGCTCATAATCTACGGTGTAGTTTGGACATGCCTCAGCCAAGACATCTCTAATGAACTAAAAAAACGAAGGCACCAATCCTCTGCGTATCATGACTCCTTAAATTGACGGCAAACAACTGGATCGCAAGCGAAATATTATGGAGAAAGAAAGATCCCTTACAGAGGACCATCATCCTATTCAAACAACATACAATCTCTAGCACCTTATGTAAGCCGCCATGCCAACTGTTCTACTACAGGCCCCCTTTCAGGCAAAGCCTGTAGTGGAGATACTAACACTGACGATTATGACAATAATGGACACAGTAATCGTAGCAGTAACGATAGTAACAAAAATAATGACAATACCAAGGGGCTGTGCTTGTGGAGACATTGAAAGAAAAGTGGTTGTAGCCTCATTTACAAAACCGCACAATTAGCTTGATAGCCCCAGTCAAAGGGTGGTGTCAATCATGCAGATTGATGTATCAACTTTCTGTATTTCTAACCCCTGAAGCCTAAACCTTAAATCCGATCACCGGACCCCAGCCCCGATGTAAACCAAAGCTCCTAAACCCTAAGCCCCGAACCCTAAACCCTAGACTCCTAATCCTAAACCCTAAACCCTAAACCCTAAAACCAAAACCCTAAGCTGTACAAGCCTGGCCTATGCGGCATGAGCCGGGGAGTCATGGCCTCCACAAGCTCACAGCGGTTTTGGGTTTAAGGACTATGTGAGTAAGTTAGGGGTTATATTGGGATAATGGAGAAGAAAATGGAGACTACTATTTAGGGTTTGGGATTTAGGGTTTAGGGTTTAGGGTTTAGGTTGGGTACTGCCCCCACCCTGCCACAGTCTAATTATAGGCTTCATACCCATCGTTTTCCGCGCTTGGCGGCTACAAACTGTAGATTTCATTGGCAAACGCAAGGGACTCGAGTGCGAGCTGGCAGAAGAGTTACAAAAACAATGAGGATTTGGGACATGTACGCAACCCTCTCAGCACTTCAGGGGACTCAAGCATTCACATCCGAGAGCTGAAGCTGCTGGAAGGCGTACTTGGTTGAGACTGCGTCAGAAATGAAGATACGACACGCAGAGAAAGCCTCCGCTATCGACTGAAACCCTGCAAGTGAAGCAGAATGCGTCGTGCAAGCCATAGAAAAATGCACACGTCATTGAAACACACTCCGAACATGAAGGCATGACGTCCCTGACACACGTATGATTGCGAAAGAATGGAAAGCTAGCTCTTAAGCAGAGAAAGTCCAAAAGTACTGAATTCAAGCCCAGAAAGCGAAAACCGCAGTACCCAACGACAGGGCGGAACCCCGACGCCCCGCACCAAGCTGGAACGGCAAAGTGCCACGGACTCTGTTGATTGCGGATTAAAGCCATCTTCCCCAAAGAAACCTTGAAGCAGCGTATACAAGAAGACGAAATCCCCCATAAACCGCCAAGCAACTTCTGCCGTTATTAATTGTCAGCAGAATAAAGTCACCCCTCCCAAGAAAAACTCTGAAGCAACTCGTACCGTGCGTTGTCAACAGAACGAAATCATCCCCCCACGCACCCCTCCCCCCGTAAAACCCGTGAAGCAACTTGTACCAACGAGGGTGATGGAACCTAGTTATAGTATAGTAGGGGTGATACTGAGAGCTATTTAGA